AGAGGCCACGCCCCCTCCCGGCATCGTCTGGAGCAGTGGCGCCACCTCGCGGTCACACGCGGGTACAACAGACCCGGAACCACCGCCAGCACCGCCCAGTGCCACCAGCATCACCGCCCCAGTGCCACCAGCATCACCGCCCCAGCGCCATCACCACCCCAGTACCACCATCACCACCTCAGTACCACCATCACTACCCCAGTGCCAGCACCAGTATCATCGTCCCAGTGCTAGCACCAGTATCACTGCCCCAGCACCAGCATCACCACCATAGTACCAGTACCAGCATCACCACCCCAGTAACAGAATCACCTTCCCAGTACCAGCATCTCAATCACCACCCCACTAACAGCATCACCATCCCAGTACCAGAACCAGCATTATTGCCCCAGTACCAGCATGACTGCCCCAGTAGCTGTGGCACTGTCCCAGTAGCAGCAGCACTGTCCCAGTACAAGCACCAGCATGCTGGTTCCCCCCAGCACCAGTATGACTGCCCCAGGACTGGCATCCCCACCCTACACCAGCATCCCCAGTACTGGCACTCCCACCTCATACTGGTACTGGCACTCCCAGTACCAGCATCCCTACCCCACCCTGGTGCCAACATCCCTGGTACCGGCAGCTCTACTTCACCCTGGTACTGATATTCCCAGTACCATCACCCCCAGTACCAGCATCCCCCATCCCACTAAAAGTGACCCCCCAAGTGCCACTGGGGACCCCCTCCAAAAGCCTCTCCCCCCGCAATGGGCTCCCCATCATGGCCACACAGTGCAGGGACGGTTCAACCACAGTTGGGAGCAGGAGTTGCCCCTTGGGACAGAAAGGGGGAGGAGAAAACCAACCCAAAAGTACCCCCAAACTCCCCCATTCCCACCACGGGGGCAGGACGGGGCAGCACACACGTGTCAGCATTGCAGGGTCACCGGTGCCAGCCCCATCCCTTCCCCTCGGACACGAAAATCACCTCTGGAAGAAAATATCATCATTGGGATGGGAAATTGTTGGCATGGGAAGCCATCGTGCAGTTGAGAAACCATCACTGGGATGGGAAACCATCACCAGTATCACCATCACCGCTCCAGTACCAGCGTGGGCAGCCGGGGCACCTTTGCCATATGCTGCCACATATTCATATATATATGTACCATGCACGTAATGGCTCTTCAGACTCCACGCTTTCCTGGCCCGGGGACTTTTGTCCCGGGACAAGGACTCATCTGAGCAGGGCGGGATTTTCCAGTCCGCGACATCTCATTCCAAAGTGGGTGGTGGGGAGCAGCGCCCTGTGTCCAGCATGGAAAGATGCTGCCAGTATCTCCAGCTGGGAGAGAAGCCCCTTTTCCAGAGAGAGGAAAACCACATGGATTAGCGTCAACGCTGGGAGGTCAGAGGCATCAGCAGGCGGTGACGGGGAAGGGCCGGCTCGACTCGCCCAGCCAAGCGGGGGGCCCCGGCTCTCGGGGTGCCCCGCGGCCGTCTGGGCACAACGGGGGCTGCTCCCCCCGCGCCGGAGAAATCAGGTTGAACCTCCTTCGTTTCCAGCCAACCCTGTAATTAGCGCTCGGCCCATGCTGGCGAGCAGGATCCAGCCCTGGGAAGGAGTCGCGGCCGCCTCAGGGTGTGAGGCAGGGACCGGCTGAGCTCGGAAAACTCATCTCACACGTGGTCGGCCTCACCAGCTGGGACTCACCGTCCCTCTCTGTGTGTTCCCCCTGTTTTCCCTTCTCTCTCCCAGCCCACTGCGTGCAGTGCTGCCCTGAGGCTCGGGATGCTTTTTGCCCCGTGGGGACCCCATCTGCAGGCACGGACCCACCCGCAAGGGCTTTTCCGCCCCCCTGAGTGATGCCCAAACCCCAGATCCCTCCTTCCCAGGTGGGGACCAGCATCCTCCAGCCTGAGGACAGGGGGTTCACCTCCACCTGGCCCTCTCCCCAAAATGCCAGGGGGAGGATTTGCCATCCATTTTTGGGAATGGCCTTGACCGTGGGGACCCCGCGGCGGGTGACTCAGGGATTCTCGGGGTTGCGAAACAGGCCTGGGATGATTTGGGAGACGCCTCCACGCAGCCCCGCCAAGCCCAGCCGCCCCGGGGAGCCCATCGGAGGAACAAGCCACAGCAGCGTCTGGGCTTTGCTCGGCGGCCGACCCGTCAGGCAGGTTTCCCGGAGCAGCGAGCCGAGCCGGAGAGAGCCATCCCGGGCCGGGCCAGTCCCTCTG